TCGTGGCCAGGAGGTATCGGGGAGGCGGCAGAGGAGCTGTCGGAGAAGGTGTAAGGAAAGTAGGAAAAGTTAGTCAGGCTCACTCACCTCACATTCACATCTGTTACAAATGGGCAAGCTTCAGCACATTCACTAGAAACACGTGATAAAAGTAGTGTAACTGCGCATGTGCGCCCATTTGCTGATTCAGCATGTTGTAATTATGTAATGCTTGGCCTGTGGCTGCTGTTGTGTACTAAGAGTATAAAGGTAACTGCTCTGAACTGCTGGTTGGCAGAGCGTGGAGGGAAGTGCAGTAGAGCTAGAGCTCATGTCTGAGAATAAAGCATGTCTGTGAAACTCACATCTGAAGAATAAAGTATGTGTACCTTGCATAAAGCTGCCAGAATCCTCTTTCAATTACCTGACTCACGACCTGCACAGGAAGAGGCTGAAGGATCTGAGATCCCTGTGTAACAGATGGAGATCCCATGATCAGAGAATTCTGGAGGATGGTTAAGTTTGAAAGGGAGGATGCTGCGTTCTTTTTTTGGCTATATCAGTGACCATCATTGTTTCCAGGAGACCTAGTGATACAAGTCTGAAATGAGTCAAAATGGACACTGCAGGTATGTGGGAATAAATGGCAGAAGAGATGGTCGAAGTATAAATTACCTATGAGAGAAAGCAGGAGCCATCTAAAGAAACTGGTATCACACTAAGGGCCAGGATGTAATTCCTATACCAACCAGCCACCAAAAACAAAACAAAAGAAACCAGCCTCATTAGGAAAGGAGCTCTCTGAGGAGGTATGACCGCAGGTGTGAGAAGGACACACATACGGAGGCTGACTCAGAAGAGAACCATGAGCCTGTCAGAGTAATAAACTTCTTTTAAAAAATGTTAAACCTTGGACTGAAATTTACTACAAATACTAATATCAGTTTTTAAAATTCTGTCACCGAGTTACAGATGTAATGTCCAAGAAAAGGGGAGAGCTTCCCATCGCCTATGTTCTTACTAGATTCTTCATTAAGAAGAATCATTTTTTAAGTACATAGTTGTCAAAAAACAGGAGTAAGCCCCAAATATACTGCATGATAAACAACATAGGAAGAAAGCATTAAGCTGCTTTGAATTATTCAAGTTTCAGACTCAGAAGACATGTCTAGTGCCCTAAAGGAACTTGTAGACACAGTCTCTAACGAATTTAAAATAATTTTGTGAGTGCATGGAGAGTGGAAAGTGTACCCAGAGGCAGGAGATGAGCCAGTGCTTTGAGCTTCCTGGAGGGCTTGCCTTTGCTTGTCACTGATTAAGACAGCAAGTGGTTGATTTTTTTTTTTATTTGAAGGGCAATCCTAGCCTTAAGGATAAGGAGATAAGACCCTAAAATCTAAGTCTTTGTAAATAAATAACATTTAAGTCCATGGGAAAAATAACAGAATTTCATTTTTATGCTTAAATTTACTATCCTGCTATATTTCAGGAAAGGAATTTTTTTTTTTTTTTTTTTAACATCGTGAGGTGTTAAAGAGAGAGAGAGAGAGAGAGCTCTCATAGTCCAAAATAATCTATCAGTGGTTTATTAACACCTACAAGTATTTTACCTGACCTAGAGCACAGCATAGCCAGTGAATTCCTTGTGGTGGAAGAATTAGAAGCATGCTTATAAGATTTGCAAGTCACACAGATAACAAAGTGCCAGAGGTACTCATTTGAGATTCAGAACTGTCTTGACAAGCTACAACATCAAAGCCGAAGTAGAATTTATTGTAAACTAATTTTCAATTCTGTAGCACAAATATAGAAGGAGTATAGACTTGGTAGCAGTTCACGTTTGTAGACCTCATAAACTTAACGTGGATTAACAGTCTGATGGAGTTTCCCTATGAGTCCTATTCAGTCTTCGGCAGCATTAGAAGAGCTGGGCTAAGCACCTAAAGTTCATTGTCTCTCTTCTCAGTGCTCATGGGTTCTGACTTTATCAGCTAAACCCATTTCTAATTGCTCCGAGGAAGCACAGAAATCTTTATCAGTGTCCCCACACTTCTGGAGGCAGTATCCTCATCCTCTGTAGACCTTCCAAAGATTTAAC